AGATGTGGATAAGAGACAGGGACAGTATTATGCAATATAAAATATAGAATGTTCCAGTAACAAATGAATAATTATATATATTAGGTGTACGATCGCTGACATTCAACAAAGAAGTGCTGACGGTCGGAACCGGGAATGGTACAATACTGTTCTATGATATTAGGAATAAGGCATATCTCTGTCTCTTATACACATCTAGATGTGTATAAGAGACAGCTCTACTGGTGATATTTGCAACACGTTCAACTGTTTATATATATATATTATTTTTTTTAATTTCAGGTCATTAAGCTTGATGTCATAACTGGGCAGAAAATTCAGATCCCATCATTAAAGGGACGAGGTCCCTTTGTCCGTCAGCATATCAATTACAGTATTGGAAATGCATTCTTTTTTCATCATCCGCATTCAAGTTCCTGTGGCATACACAGCATTGACATTAACCCCAGTGGGACATTGTTAGCAACTGGGGGAGATAATCCTAATGAAGTAGCTGTTTACAAGCTACCGAACTTTGAGCCTGTTTGTGTTGGCGAAAATTGTCATGAAGATTGGATTTTCGATATTACATGGCTGGATGATGAGTTTCTTATAACAGGTAGAGTTATATTAATAATCAAATATTAATAATTATGATTTAATTACTACTTATTATCAATAATAAAACAAGAAAAAGGTAAAGAAAATAATATATAATAACATTTTTAAACAAACAATTAGTTTAAATATACAGTATTGTGTAATAATTTTGTTTTAAAAACAGATGGAGGTATTGTGTATTCTACACTGTCGCTACAGTGCTTTCTGAGGTAATTGTCGTACTGCATAGCAGTCCCCTACGCTCTCCGATTTTGCTCCCCAATTTGCCCGACCAAACAGCATTGCTGAAAGCTGTCGGCAAAATACAGTTTTTTATCTCAACCATAATGATGAAAATATTTTTTAAATTACATGATTTATGATATGATAATAACCATAAAATATAATCATAAATAAAGAATAAAAGAACAAGATTGCAATAAATTTGATTTAACTTTTTTTATCCCAGGTGGTCGTGATGGTAATTTAGGATTATTTCAGGTCACGAATGATATACAGGAACGTGCTTATCGTTCAGATAGCCAATGTTTCGTTTCACCCCATGAGAAGAAGCAATGCCAAGTCAGTCAAAAAGTACGAGCCATCAAATTTAACAGAAAGACTAATGTAAGTTATTTCAATTAGAGTTTTGCCTGTAAGTAATATACAAGGTTTTTTGTAGTGATTATTAAACCCTGTCCAGTCTATAAATTTCATTTGACAAAAAAGGTGGCATGTCTAAATAGGCACATCATAGGCAATTCGATAGTGTGGAGCATTAAGGTAAATACTGGCATTCTTCTGTAGATATACTCATTCCTAATAAGGTGAGGTGGTAAAATAACATAATATTTGCTATGTTTTGTCTTTGTGCTCATTTAATATTTCAATCTTGTAAGTGCATTAAGGAGAAATTTGTTTATTGTGTTGTCTGAGTCACAGCCAAAAGGGGTGGAGGATTTGATGGGAGCTTAAGCAGGCTGCCCCTGGTACTGCCATTGATGAAGAGAGACAATGAAATGGGGATGAAGTACTTTGCACAGGGAATATATTAATTAAGTGGCCAATGTCCAACCCCGTCTCTCAATCTTCTCCAAACCTCCTTGTTTAGCTTGTACTGTACCTTTGGTTTTTTGCAATCATAATCCCTGTTCAGGGTAACTTGTTTCTTAAATGCCTTTGTTTTCTTGTATTATTATAATCATAATCCGTATTCATGATAATTTGTTGACTGATTAATCATATATTGTAACTACCCTTAACAACGTAAAAATTAGCATTAGCATAATGCTCATATGGTACAAAATTATTTAATTGTGGGATTAATAGTTACCAGTTACTTGATTACTAATCTTTAAATTCTTATATTTCACCTGTTAAGTAATCCTCTTTTAAAAATGAACATGCTGTAGAAATTAAACCGCACTTGTTACCTTGCGTTAACAGTAGTATTTTTTACAGTTAACCTTTCCCTATTTCTTCATGGGTTTTACTTTGGATCTCTGTTGGCAAATTTATTGAACCACCACTGGATATAGCCAGCTATGGTGTGAAAGTTTTGTGAGGGGAGGGTGGCTTGCTATTTATATAAAGTAAGGGGGTATTAGAAAAATGTGATGAGATTATTTTTTAACTACTTAAAAAACATAATTTTTGTGGGTTTGGCAAATTCCATATGGGGTGTCTGGGTGCACAAGCCCCCTGGAATACTGTATGGCATTGGATTTAGCATTTACTTACTATCATACAGATTCTAGGATCACTGACTACAAATTCGATCTCAACAAAATTTAGTAGACGGAAGCTTGGTTAGTGCTTTCCGATCCCAAATTTATGGGATTAAATCCTGTGAGACACCAAGATTTTTCTCTAAATCAATAAAAACAACTCCACTCCCATACCTTGCAATGAAACTTGCTTAGCATCAGATGACATTATGGGCTTACAGTATCTGAAAGTGTTAACAAATGGATCATATAATAATCAAATTATCAGTTCCATAATAAATCATTATCATATTCTTTTTTACAGGATTTAGGAGTTTTATCACCTGACGGCCTCTTCCATATATGGAATATGCATCGATTTGAGGAATCATTCACAAAACGTCTTGATCAGTGTAAAGAGAACGTCTGTATGAGCCTATCTGAAGATAACTCACTATATGCTGTAGGCTCACAGTCTCATGTCACGTTTCTAGATCCTCGTGATTTGAAAACAGTTTTTGTTATATCATCGTCAGAAAGAGATAGTGGTAAGTTTTAAAGAAATTATTCGCTAAATCATTGTTGCTGACTTGTGTGTAAAAACCACAGAATCATAATAGTTATCTTGCATTACAATTACTGTACTAAAATCACAAATATTAAAATCACATTCTTCAAAAGACTAAAACAATATTAATACTATACAAAGAATAGGCAGTTAAATAGGTACTGTATTTCAGTGTCTGTTTCATTGATAGCAATATTGCTGTAGTTGTATTCTTTACGTCAGTTGATTAATCCTTAAGGTAGAATCATTGGGAATGTTTTACATGGTTTAAACATTATTGGAAGCCTATAAAATGTAAACCTCAAATCATAAAAAAAAAATTCACTATACTTGATAGTTACCCAGTGTACAGTATTATGCAATATAAAATATAGAATGTTCCAGTAACAAATGAATAATTATATATATTAGGTGTACGATCGCTGACATTCAACAAAGAAGTGCTGACGGTCGGAACCGGGAATGGTACAATACTGTTCTATGATATTAGGAATAAGGCATATCTACAGTGTGGCTGTTCAGGTAAACCATCAACATTGAAGTATAGGACAGGAGATGGTTGGCTGGTAGGTTTAATTTATCATTATTCAGGCATCATTTGCTTTTAGAATTGTTTGTTTTTCACTTTATATGTTTATTATTATTATAAATAAGTATACATGTAATTCTATCATTATCCTTGATTTATCGTTTGATATTAACTTCATGTTTATAATATTATATTACATTTTTATATTATCGCCATCATGTGTTCTTTTCATCTATATTCTTTTTTGATTCAGAATATAGTTTATAGTTTCATTATTTAATTGCTTTTATACTGTATCTATCTCAATAAAAGAATTTGTTAAACAGCGTTTGTCTCTGTAATAACTATGATTTTCTTTAAAAATTTTCTTAAAAAAAAACTTTTTGAATTTGTGTTCACTCAGGCAAGGGATGACATGTATGCTGAATTCTTTTTTAACGAACACTTCCCAAATTCTGTGTACACGCATTGCTACAACAGCGCAAGGACAAAGTTGTTTGCAGCTGGAGGACCATTACCATCAGGGCTTAGTGGAAACTATGCAGCGTTGTGGCAATGACGATGGCTCTAATCCCCAACTCAATGCTAATTACAGCAGGCCTAGCAACTACAATAAAAAAGAACTTCATTTTGAATATGCGGTCTGGCCAGAATGCAGCCTTGTGCTTAATGCCTGGCACACACTGCGTTGTACGACCATCTGGCGACGCGAGTGCCCAGCTTGATTTTGAATCAAGAAAATGAAGCAGCTAATTCTTTATGCAAACTTGTGCAATCGTTCTAATGTAACATTATTTATGAATTAAAATTGAAGGCATATAAGACAAAACTTAAGCAATTGATAAAGAAATGAATGGTAATGCTAAGGTTTCTGTAGCACTACATATATCCAGAAATAAATGATCTTTTATCTGATAAATTCCCATGGAAAACAGGTCTAATAGATTATTACCAACTCAAAATCATTAAGACATTTTGTCAGATAATTTTTAATTATGGATTGTTTGAGCTTTGGTTTGGGTAGATATTTAATTATGATCCATCTGCGAAGTGTTAGCAAGAAACATTTTTTTTCTGTTGGTGTAGTGGCAATAATAGCCATTCAAAACCTGCATAAAGAGGAGTAAAAACAAATATTAAACATAATTTCCATTGGCATCTGATCTGGAAAACAGCAACATCAAATTATTTGACATTTATTGAGTAATTTTAAATTGTTGTGAGAAAAATGGCCTTAAAGGAGGCTAAATAATCTCTATCAATTACTGTATTGTAAAAAAAGTATTTTAAAGTTGATATAAATTAAATTTAGGGAATAAGGTAACATATTTTATTATGATATTAGAAGAATAGATATTAATTTCTTTTTTAGGTTGTAAATTGTTTTTTTCTCTTATATAGTTTCCTAAACCTACATTTGCATTAAATAATTGAATTCTCATTATTTTTTTGGTAACTCTTGTATGTTGTTAATAGTTCCTGATGTTGCATGTGTAAAGTTTCCAGTTTAACATAAGATGTACAGTTGAACATAGGTTTCTATGAATATGCAAATTTTCTAGTTTTCTATAAGCAACCATTGATTTAACACATTTTATGCTATTTTTAGAAAAAAAATTTATAACTCTCAACATGTTTTCATTAATTAATGTGAGGTACAAATATATACAATTTAGACCTATAATCAGTAAAACATCAATTATTAACTGTGTCATGTATGAAACTATCACGGGTGGTTATGGTCAAACATATTTGAATGGCTATCAAACTGACTGACATGCATGGCACATTCCAGGGAGCAGTCGTGGGCACCTGAAAGTCCTACCTTTTTATGGATGTTATATTGCTGTCATATGTATATATATATCTATAGCATTGTTAAACAGTAAACCACATTTTGATATACAGGTAGAGGTTCACTTGACATGACATATTCATACTCAAATTCAGTGTTAACTTCTTATAAAGTATCTGTGGCTGCTGTTTGTAATACAGTATTGTGAAACCTTTTTAGAATATTACATGCATGGAAAACCTTAAAGTAATACACAATGGCTGTGACAAGTCCAAGAGGAAAATCTATGTCTTTCTTCCAATTAGGATTGTGCGTGTGTATTGGGTCCTGTTAAAATCACAAATATGTGGGGTAAACAACTGAATTTTGATTAAGTAATACGTCAAATTCAGTTTTCCTTATATTTCTAGTCTATAATTTTATACAGCGCTGTTGACAACAGAAGATGGAATTTGATTTTTATTTAATGAGTTTTGAATTCATTATTAAGAAGTTAGTTTTAAATATTTGCTTAAATTATCAGTTAATACTATTTTAATTAAAACATTACTCTCTGCAATTATTTATTTTGTACAGTGTATTATTTGAAATATTTGTTTTTAATTTGTTTTATTATCTGTAGTCCTAGATAATTACATAACTGTAACTATTGTTAAATCAGTTGTGTAAATTACTTTATAATTCTTATTAATTTAATAATTTCATCAAATTTGCTGTTAACAGTTTTTTGTGTTTTATATTAGTATGTAATTCTAAATGTTACTTTAAATATTTTTTTTTTATTCTATGAGTAAAAATAAAATAGAAACTATTGGAATGAACACATTACGAAGTTTTAAATTGCTTTATTTTTTGTTTATTTCAGAATGTGCATGAATATGAAAATAATTACAAAAAGAAAAACAAATTATTTGTAGCTAATTTAAAGAACACACTGAAACTTGACTTAATCAGCTAGAGCTGTCTCCCATATATGACTTGATGGTGGCTCTGGTGTCACCCAGGCAACTGGTATTGATGATGCACCACCAGTTTGAGGCAGGACAAGACATTGATCCCATTCATACCTGGAGAAGATAAATTACAGTTATCATTATCAATGATGGAAAGCACATTGATATTGTAGATAATAATAATAGGGTAGTTTTGTATAGCGCACATATCCATCTAATATAAGATGCTCAGGGCACTTGATATGTGGACTAGGAACTCGACCAATGACTTTCTTCACCCCTAAAAGCCAACTCAGACAGCGTCTCAGACGCGATGGTGTGCGTCGGGGGAAGTCGTGTCGTAGAATATTAAACACGTTTAATATTTCTGACGACGGCTTAAGACTGTCCCCGACGATAAATTGGGTCGGGCTGCGTCGGCCGACGCTGTCTGAGTCGGCCTTAAGGGTCTCTTCGTGTCTGTGCTACCTGGTAACCCGGGACCAGCAACTCTTGTCGTCCACTACAGGGGCTGTCTGTTCAGTACACCGGGGTATCCCCCTACTCGTATCGAATGATGTACTGGGTTCTTTATAGTGCACACGAGCCATTGTATACACTGGGTCTATGGTTTATTGTCCTTATCTGAGAAGACTTGTTCTACCACCAGAACCATAGGCGAGCGTGCCATTCTAACCAGCGCCGATATTATGACTATAGCTTGAGGCGCTCCTGCTAACTGCTCAGCCATTCGACACACCCTTAGATCTCTTTTAATGAGCTTTTTAACACATTGTATTTTGGCGTCAAACTCAACAACTTACCAATGAGTACAGGGCCAGGAATATGTCTTTGTATGTCTATACACTGCCGTTTCGTGGGACCTTAGCAATAATATCTACAAGGGACTTAGCACAAAGGTCCATTCAACACGATATAAAAAACATACACATATTCTGAAATTCTGAGATGCGTAGTTTGAGAAATGTGTGCTTGCTTGCAGGATCATAAGAGAAAACTCTCACAGAAAACTTGGACCTTACATCATTGGAAATATTTACATACAATGTACAATGGTTGCTTCAAGTATCCCCTACAGAAGCTTTTAGGAATGGAACCCCATCATTGGAAATATTTACATCAGAGGTTCTCAACTATATCAAAACAGGGGTCAAAATTTTTCATTGAATAAATTTGATGGGTTAGAGCAAGTGGTGTACTTTGGCGCATACACCATCTGAGCACCGCAGCCGAGAGCCAGTGGGGGATGGAAATTAGAAATTTTTTGAAAATAAGCAGGTAGACACCTACGAAAGTTACTCTTGGCCGAAAGTTGGCATGTTATGATTTCTTCGCTTTTTGCTGCAATAGTTCTTCTGATTTGATTGATTAAATCACTACAATTAGTGGGGCAATATATATCAGCAAAACAGAATGCAAGATTATTCAAGGTTAGAAATCTAGGCCTACGCCTAATGGAAAAATACAAATACACTTATATTCAAAATAAATATAGGGGCACTATTTTTTCTAGTTTGCATCGATACAAACACTGGTGTATTTTTTATCTGTTATTGATTAGAATACCTAAGCAGTGCTTTTTCAACCTAACACAAGGTTTTACATTTGCAGGGTTAAGAGCCATAAATTAGAGGATGTACACCATAACCAGAAAACTGTATTGATTATATCAGCGTAATCTTACCTCACATGTAGAAGAGCATCCATGTTTACTTCAGCTTGTTCATAAAATTGCTGGAATGGTATCAGATTTGGATCATGAACTTTTTCTGTAAAATAATAAGATTTAAGTTGTTACATAACTTAAACTTACATGATCACAAAATACATGTCTCTATGCATTGATTATTTGCTGATACACTACTCTTAACTGTAAATAATATTTTGAGGTGATCTGCAAATGTTTTGCAGTAGAGACTTTAAACACTAATGTGAATGTAGGCCATTCTAATACGTAATGCAGGGCCGGCTCTTGCAAAACCCGCTCTTTGACGCAATTTCTAATTATGCACAAGCGCCCAAAACGTTCAAGAATCAAAATTTAACATTTTCAGGTTTTTGCATTTTATAAAGAAAATATATTGAAGAACATTTACGCAAAATATCCATCATTAAATTTAGCTGAAAAGTATATTATAATTATTTTTAAAGAAAACAAATCTTAGTAACTGATTTTGGAAACTTTGGAAGCTGTTTTCTTTAAACCAACATGGCTGATATCCAATGAATAAAATATTCATAACACTTAAACTCAACCAATTTCTATCAAATAAACACTGTTTTAAAGAGGAATTCATGCAGAACTTAATTTTGCGAAATTGCCTATTGCTACATTTTGTATTACTATGATTCATTGCGGGGATGAAAATTATTTTTCTGACCACCAAACTAAGTATTAGACCCGCATTTTTGCACTTTAAAATAAAATCATTCAACATTCGGTGTCATTGAGCGTTGTTCAGATTACATAGCATCTAATAAATACTTAAAATATTAGGTCATTCAGAGTTCTCTGTAAAAGTATTCTGAATGTTAATGATGATAATAATAGTCACTATTATGGTAATCAATGTAACTAACCATCTCCAAATAAAAGCTTCTTCCTAAGGTTCAATTTTTTCCTTTCTTTTTCTTCAAGTTTCTGTTGAAATATCAGTCTTTCTTGTTCTTTGGTTTCTTCCCGTTCCTCTTCCAGCATTACCTTGTATAAGGACAAAGAAAATTAAAATCCAAGATAATTTACTCACAAATAGCTAAAGCATTCTAACATAACGGCAAAAATTCATCATTTTTGTGCTTGAGGAGAGTGTGGTTGGTTTATCAGATGGTGTTTCTCCTGAAAAAGTGTTAAAGTTGAATTATAAGTGACATACTTGATAAGCATGTATGAAAATGTAATTTGCATAAAAAGAGCTTCAAAACCAAGTTAGTTTGCACTATTTAATTGAGGACAATTGCTGAAAATAGACAAACATATAGAAAAATTTTGTAAAAATGATTGGTTATAATATCATGTATGCATTATTTTTTTTATTGACATATTTGTTTACTTTGCTTTTAAGTTATATGTGCCTGCATTTACTTCCTAATCTTTGATTTCAAGTATATTATTCTCAATTTAAAGAACATTATTCAGTTTTAATTGGAGGGTTATATACGCAAGTAATTTGGAGGATTTGTCTGATAATCGCGGTCCATGGTACTGAAAAATGGATTGCTACCTGCATTGCTTGCTCTTCAGCTGTGTACACTGCCCTCTGCCGATTCATAAATTGCTCCATTTGACTTATACGTTTCTCAAAGACAGTCTCTGATGATGCTGGCAACACAACACCTGAAATGAAAGGGCTATTTGTCATAAGGTGAAAAAATATGTTACAGTACACATGTACTCATTACACATAAACACATTCAAATGCTTTTGTGCCATGTCCAGTCTTGTTTTGAACATTATAAATAGCCTGTTGTAATCACCTTTTTGTTTAGAAGATGCATTCCTAAGATGCCGTAGTTTGCGAAGACCTCGCAGTATTTCCAAGGTCTTGTCTGCTTCTTTCTTCTTTTTACGAACTTCAAACAACGTTGTGTCTATTTCTTTCTGGAGTTCTTTTTCCTAACAAAGTGTACACACAATTATAGAAGAAAAATGTCACAGATATTAAATTTCAAAAACAGAGGGCATTTACAATGCAATATTGCATCAATATTCTGATGTTGTCGTAAGTGAAATACAGTGTAGACACCACAGCATTTTTATATTACAGGGTGTCAGCAAATGCAGCATGATTGCCATAGGAGTCGCAATATACTGTAATGTGATTTTGGCAACACAGTCCACGACTGAATTCAAGTAACAAGTTAAGAAGATGCATCATGACTAATGGTTTTTCTATATAAATATACAATTATTGTATTTCTATTTTTACTGTATTTCTAATGTTTTTATCTTATTTACTTTTAACTGATTCCGTTGATGTCTTTGTACATATTTATATATATTTTAATGATATTTTTACTTGAATATTTTAAGCTTATTAATATTCTCATTGGCATTGGAGAGCCACTAGACAGTGATAAGTTTACATTTTGGCAATCCTGTCCGGCCAACTGAGCGTTTTTTTTCCCTCTCTCTATTTCTTTGTGTTTGTCAGTTTTATTGTTCTTTGGACAACGAAATAAATGAAATAAAAGGAAATGAAAGCTCTGTCAATACTATCTGGTATTTTGTAACAAATACATATGATTTGTCCATATAGATGGGCATATGATTATTATGATATAATCATGCCCATATATGCGGCAAATCTCACAATGTTTCTTATAAAAAGACAAAGTTTAAATAAAATTATTTTAGGTTTATACCACAATTGCATGACATACTCCTAGAACTTTTGTCTTAATAAAAATAAGAATTGAAGATTTTGATTCTTATACCTTCAATTTTTCCTGGCGATCTTTCTCAGCTTTTGCGATATTTGCATTAATCTTTTCATCAACTACTTGGATCTTCTCCAAATATTCTTGCCGGTCCTCATATTCCAGCTCTCGCCTCCTCTTTAAGTTCAACTGGAGAGAAAACGTAATTTCACACATACTATGGATAACTGTTATTGTACTACAAACTGTGTTTCCAAATAACGTTATAAAGGAGTCTTCAAAAGATAATTTATTTCAGCTGTGTAAAAATGTAAATACAGTCTGAATAATGAATTTCATCGATCTACAAAAACATATAATATACAACTTACTGATTTTTTTCGCCTCTTTTTCAGCTTTTCAGTCACTTTCTCAATAAATTTGGGGTCATCCAATTTTCCAGAAACAGATAGCAAGTCCCTCTGTAAAATGAGAATCAATGGAATAACAACTACATCATGTACAACTATAAATAAAAGTAAACAATTTTATACACTAATCTAAGTAATTAATATTATGTCAGTCAAGTTAACAAGTATTTATAATTGCATGGTCTTTGTTGGTGATATTTTAAAGCATTTACTGTTTTACCATTCAACTTTGATGCAATTTAAGTTAAAGTTACTAAATCAAATATGTTTGAATAAAGAATAACAACAAATTAATATTTGGTATAAGATACATAATTATATCTATTCTGAATCTATTTTTATAATGCCAATGCAATCAATGGTCATTTTATATCTTCTTTTGGAAATCTTCAAGACAATGCATGTAATAAAAAAATTTAAAAAATTATCGCAGCATTGGTACTAAAATTCATGTACCATTTTATAATCCTGAGTGACAACATGGATGAAGGAAATTGTCAAAGGATGAAGAAGAGGCCAGCATCAGACAATGAATGTATCTCGCAATTAGACCAAAGGCTGTACCACATTCTACTATAGTTTTTAATATCTTTTATGAAATAAGTCATAATAATAACTGAGTTCTACCTTAATATCTGAAACCTGCTGGAGAGCCAGATGCCAACTCTCTGAATCAATGTCCAAGTTTTCAAGCAGCAAATCTCGTTGTAGTTTTAAATCTTCTAAGAGACGTCCATAGCTTCTAATCATGTCTTTGACATGTGGTATCTGTGGGAAAATAATACAATTGTTATTGATTCCGGTTAAAAGAATGATGATTTTTTTTGGTAACCTGTGGTATAAAAAAAAACCAGAAAATCACATTCTTAATAAAATCTTTTATACTTATGACACCCACAACATTATTATAAGTAAAGTGACTGGCTAGTGCTATAGCAAGCAAAGCTAGTCATGGCTGGGGCCAGAGCATTATAAAAAAACCTTTAAGTTAGGATCCATTATCTTAGAGACTCACCTTAATTTCTATGTTAATAGACTTATTTCTGTTTTTCCGCTGCCTCGTATGAATTTTTGATAAAAAATTATCAATCCACTGTTGATCTTTCTCTTTTTCTGTTAATTCCTGGGAAATGGGAAATTCCCCTGACATAGCATCCTTTCTGGAAGGTGGTGGATATGGAGGTGGGATATGTTGAGGAAAAGCTTGACTAAAGTTTTGAGCATCTGCTTCATTATGGCTTCTTTCTCCTGCTATTGAAAGGGGAGGGTAGGGTGCGCCATGATGCCTTAACTGAGGTTGATATGAAGCATCTTGCATTGGTGAGTGACTAGGATTAAATGTCTGTCTTGGCAATGACCCATCACTTTTTAACTGATGATTAGAAACATCTAGTCTTGATGATTTGAAGTTACTAGTTTGGCCAACAGACAGCCTGCCATGGTTTCCTCCATGGGTTTGAAGCTGAGTTTTATTGTTTGGCATGTCAAAAGGTTGTGGAATGCCAAGTGGCTGTGATGACCATGATGGAGGTGCTGCCACTCCATGTGGGAATGGATTTGATGCTGACATAGTGTTTTGCCCAAAATTTTGAAATACTTTAGGACCAGGTGGTGGGTGTCGAAAATGATGCATTTGGTTTTGGTGTTGAACTACGTTTGGTGGTGGCAGACCATAATTTAAGGATGGTCCATCACTCGGAGCTGGTGGCCTTAGTGGTGGAAAGGGTGGCAGTTGGCTTGAATATTGTTGCTGCTGTTGACTTTGCTTCCACATTTGATGTTGCTGTTGAGATGGACTGGCCTGGTAATTATGTTGCTCATGCTGACTTCCTGTCTGTTTATATTCCATTTCTACAATATATAGTAAAAAAAAAAAAAAAACAACTTGCAAATATGGTAATGTTTAAATGGGGAAGTGATGTTTACTTTGGGGGGGGGGGGAGTACACCATAAATGCACGGATTGTGTACACACAGTAGAGTAATCCAGGCTGACTATTAAAAACAAGGAAGAATTTAAAAAACATACAACTGGAATGTTTTTCAGATAAATATTGTTACATACAGTACCAATATCACAAATTAGACAATGATAATTTTCTAGTCATCCACAAAAGTGAACACAATAGATCAATTAAAGTCTATATTATTACACTATGGATTTTCTTCCGACACACTGTAGTATATTAAGATAGCAAGTTTAAGGTTAGCGTTGTCAGAATAATATCAACGGCCACAATTATTATTAACCAAAATTTATTAGGCCTATCACTTACACTATTTTATTTTACCTACATATAAATTATAATATACCATCATTTGACATTAATTGTGAAGTGCTGGTTTTTTTTCAATTATTTTTAAAGATTTTTTTTTACCTTAACAAGTTGTGACTCTCATACTTGAGCAGGGTCGCCACCTTAGCAGGGCATGTAGTACAGCCAAGGCTTATCCTGCATGTACACAGTTGTGGTGGCGACACCATCTAAAACATTGGGAGTGCGCATTTTCCTTCCCTTTTGTGTTCGCGGTTTGTTTAATGCTATTTTTGGCCACCATCACAGCTTGTTTGTATATTTTACTTTTTTATTTATTTTTAAAATTTAATTCAATTTTTTTTTTCAATATGATTCATGATTTGAATACTTCCAGCGACTTGTTAAGACAATTTTATTGTGGAAGGCGCGCACCCTAGCTACTGTCTCTTATACACATCTAGATGTGTATAAGAGACAGAACACACACAGTATAATTCGAATACATGGCATTCCATACAAAGTCGGTCTCTAGGTCACGTCCACTTTGGTTCGTTCGTGGTTCCTTCGGACATAGGCTGGTGATTCGCTAGGCTTAGGTGAGTAGTAGGCTAGGCCTAGGCTAGGCCCTTAAGTAGCCTACTCTCTCTAGGCCTAGGCTAGAATTCGATCCAACTCGGCCACAAGTCAACTCGGCCACAAGCCAACTTGGCCACAAAAAGTTTGGCTACAGTCAACTCGGCCACAAGTCAAGTCGGCCGCAAGTCGTTTACTGGTACTACACTTCGAAGGAGTAATTCATCAAGTACAAAATACTAATACTATGCGCCCCACCAAATTTTAACGTAGGCCTAATTCTTAGGCGTGGTTCTAAAGAAAATAGTATGGAAATGCACGCCATCGTGCATTCATTTGATTTTAGTCGGATTCAAAATAAATTTTTAACATTTAAAACATCATAATGTGGTTTTTCTATTTCAATTTTTTATGATTAGGTCTACCGTATGTACTCATGTTTTATGTCAGTGTTTTAACATGAAAAAAATTAAACATTAATATATGTGCTTTTCTTAATTATTAAGATTGCTTAAATTGTTAATGTTACAATTGTCAGATTTTATTCCATTCTGTAAGTGGCGGGTTTTCTCTGTTGAATAAGAGTACAGTGTGAAGAAATGAATACCTTACCGCACAACGATCTCACAACAATAATCAGAATTTTACTAAAATATACTGTGTACTTCATTTCAATCATATTGAAGAAAAAGGATGCAAAAACTGAGTAATATTTAAATATTCGAAGTGTCTATGCTTACGCCGAGTCGTAAGCATTAATCATAGGCTATGCTTACGCCGATCTATTTGAAGGGCGCCGCTTGCTTCGTGAGTACGAAAACGTCCTATTGAGGATGTGCAATTTTTTTTTTTCTATAGCGCGCACTTGGTGAAGTTTCAAGATGGCAGATGAAGACACTTTGCGTCTCGGTGGCACTTTCACAAGCTATGAAAAATTGTCAGAAGCTGTATCGAATTGTGAGAAAGAAAATCACATAAATTTATATAAACGATCTTCACGTAGCATCGATTCTGCCAAAAAACGTGCACCTAAAAGAAACTTCAACCCCGAATTAAAATTATATTCAATCGATTACGCCTGCATTCATGGTTCTCAACATGTTAATAATCAGAGCTAAGTTAGTACAGCCCATATTTCGTGGTACAGTTGTTCCACATCGAATCAGTTAGTAGAGAAAAAGAAAGTTATTTTTTAAGAGAGTTTCCTTTCAAACATTTCAGTTGTTAAAAACCTTGGTGCCTAAATCGAAATATACTACAGTGTTTTTGTATATTAATAACAAAATTGGATTGAAACTGTGTCACGCTCTCTTGTAATTATTGTATGCGTACCGTACTTGTTCATAATAGGAAAATTAAGAATTTTATAGGGACACGGATCAAGAGATGTTGGAAAGGTCGGGGTGAGGGATCGAGATTAGAGCCTATGGGAAATTCTTGTTTTTTATTTCGCTTTTTAATTATGTACTGTAATGTACAGGACAATGATTTAAAATCAGAATATCACTGCAGCAGGCAGGTCAG